GGCCCCACCCGCTCCCCGCCAGCCCGGCAGCCCCGGGTCCCAGCCCGGGAGGGACCGCCCGCGGTTAAGGCGGAAAAGCAGGTGCTGGGTGGAGAGTCGGGAGGCCCAGCCAGGGCGGCCACGTTTCCTGGCCCCAAACTGTGCTTCCTAAGTCTGGGGACAACTAAACGAGCGGGCACTTCTCTCTAAAGCCAGGAGACGACCAGAGCTTGATGTGCACTATCTGGGGTCACCAGCACTCCGCGCACCGGCCGCACTGGTCTGGCCCAGGGAAGTCCGCACTGTGCTTTCCAGGGCAGCAGCTCGCGGACCCCTAGGCTCCCCGGGTCCAGAGAAGCCAGGGCACAGGACTAAGGAGGCATTCTTGCTTTCTACTGCACTTTATTTTTATTATTGATTGACTGAAGTTTCTGGTTTACATTATAATCATTGTACATCTTTGTTGGGATACACTATGGTTTTTAAAAAGCACACTTTCTCCTTAACAAAGTACTTGCCTATGTTTCTACATATTTTCTTCCTCCACTCTCTCCAAATGTATATTTTCTGCACCTCTTTTTGTTCATCAAAATTTATCCTCAAAGTTTCCTTTCTTTTTTTACGTGCTTAAAGCATTTTTTTAGAGAGGTTTTTTCTATAGGGCACGTGCGCTCGCCAGAGAGACAGAGAAACAGAGAGCGAGCGAGAAATCACTCCCCAGGGGGGGATGGCCACGCTGCAATCCCTTCACTACAAAAGTAGCAAAACCATATAAAATCACATATAAAAAATGTTAAATGAAAAATATTTAATGCATATCAGAATTATATCTTATAAAGTCTGAGCATTATAATCACACATTAAACACGACCAGTGTAGAATGTTACCTTATGTCCATTGCCCAAGGAAAACACTCTGATGTTTTCTTTGCAAGTTTATCTACATCTCAGCACTGGAAAGCTTTTTTGTTTTTCTCTTTAGGTAAGTCCATCTTACTTTTGCAGTTTAAATAAAAGATGTATGTCTATGACTAGTTCTCAGTAGTTGCTGCTCCCTAAATAACCTTGTCAGCAAATTATACCCTCTGCCTTTACCTGTGTTACAGGTTTCCTTTGCAGGTTTGCACTAACGCATTCATGTAATTTATCCCCCACGCCTTCTCTACGGCTGTGTGTTTTATGGAAGGCCTTGAGGCAGATACATATTCCGTAATGCCGTAAGAATTGGAATAGTTCCAGAAAAATGTAAAGAAAACTGATCTACTGACAAGTTCATTTTCAAGGGTAAAACATCAAACAAAATGATAACAGAAAGATGAGTTCTTGTGTAAGATAATTAAATGTATACTGCCAAATGCCCACCCAAATACCATTTTTCACCCACTCCTCCCCTTTTCCTTATACTCAGACAAAACTAAAATCAAAAGTTGAAAACAAAAAATGTCAGAGTCTGTCCAGCTGGTGGCATGGTGTGTAAGGTGGCTGGACCTCGCATGGCTGATGCACCAAGAGTCTGGGACGCCAGGACTTGAAAATCCTGCTGGGCACATGTGCGTGCATGCCCAAAATCTTGAGGGGGAATGGAAGAGAAGGGATTGCAGCATGGCCAACCTCTACGGGGATGTCTTCTCACTTCCCCTCTCTCTTTTTGTCTCTCTCTGGCAAGCGTCGATGCCCCATAGCATACTTAAAATTTAAAAAATAAAATAATAAAATAAATGAAGGAGGTCTATGCTCAGGAGGCTTGGATTTTAGGGTCAGAGAGAACACAGGTCCAAATCTGATTCTCCCACCTCTGTAGATGGCTTTGGTGTCCTCATCTCAAACAGAATATTAAACCCATTTAAATTGCAGTGAGACTCCTAAAGAAACAAAGTGACAAGTGTGTACCAACCTCAAAGTGAGCACTGACTTTCTGCTAGTGTTCTAATGTCCACCCTCTCCCACTCCATGATTTTTTTTTTTTTGAGAGGTTTTTGCTATAGGGCGCGTGGGTTCGCCAGGAAGATAGAGAGAGACAGAGACAGAAAGCGAGAAATCACCCCCCAGGGGGATGGCCACTCCACAATCCCTTCTCCTCCATTCTCCTCTCGGAACCTTGGATATGCATGCACACATGCCCAGCATGAGTTTAAGCTACCGGGTCCAGGACTTGAACCGCAGTCAACTACATGGGAATCCAGTGACATAGCCATTACAATAACTGCTGGTCTCCCCACTCCATAATTTAAACCTAAAACCAAATCGAAGACAAATATAGTTTTAATACTGTGAAAAATACAGGCAAGTACAAAATTTTTAAAAAAGGAGGAAGAAAACCACCAATTAATGATTACTACTGTTAATGGCAAACATAAAAAGAAACTTGTCGGGACCAGCAGTTGATGTAATGGCTATGTCACTGGACTTCCATGTAGTCAACCATGGTTCAAGTCCTGGACCCGGCGGCTTAAACTCACGCCGGGTGCGTGTGCGTGCGTGCCCAAGATTCCAAGAGGAGAATGGAGGAGAAAGGATTGTGGCGTGGCCATCCCCCCTGGGGGGTGATTTCTCGCTTTCTATATCTCTGTCTCTCTCTGTCTTTCTGGCGAGCGCCCGCGCCCTATTGCGAAAACCTCCCCAAAAAAAAAAAAAGAAAAGAAACTTGTCTCTGGTAAGTAACATTGGAAGAAATTCACAATCTCAAGTTAAAGCTTGTAGTGTCTTAAAAACATCAAGATAAGCCTCCCTTCTCAAGCCCTAGCAAAGGAAGCAGTTCCTGCAGGAGCAGGCAGCGCCAGGAGGACACTGACATTTGAAGCAGCAGAGTTCACATCCTTACTGGAAACTGGGTGCAGAAAAATGCAACAATTAGTCGCTTTGTTTTCCATGCTTTCGATATTTAGAGAAAAGACATCAACCCAGTGGTCATGTGGACAAATGGAGGGAGTCATCAAATGCACCTCACAAGACACCCTTCCTTCTACACTGTTATCTTTGGTAGCTTTCCAAGGTTGGTCAAATTACAGAAGGAAACGGAAGCCTACCTGTTCATCAGATTCCAGAATCCAGGCCTTTCAAAGGACATCCACAGACATGATGTCTTTTAAGCCTGCATAACCGTGACGGAAACATTAGCTTCTCTACTTTTCAGATGACAGAGAGATTAGCCATGTAGCTAATTAGTGACAAAACAGGTCTAGAACTGAAATTCTTTCCAAACACTACAGGATTCTTCTCCATTACTTAAGGCTTGTGAGTGGGTGGGGGGAGACGGTAATGGAAAGCAAAGACCAGTAAGATTAAATTCTGTGCTAAATGCTGTAATGTGTGTGTGCGGAAATCAAAATAAAATACAAATAATTTCCCAAATGGCTTAGATACACTTAACATGCAAATTTTACACTTTTATCCATGTGAAAGGGAAGGGGAGTTAATAAAGGAGTCCAGGGTGCTATAAGGGCTGGAGAGGGACTCTCTTGAGTTTGATAAACAGGGCAGCTGGGGTAGGTTTTTTGTTTGTTTGTTTTTTTAAAGAATTGTCTGTTCAACTTTATTTATTATTATTATTTTACTTTAACCAGAGAGAGAAAGAGAGAGTAAGCCACCAGTTCCAGGATTTGAACCATGGTCGACCATGTGGGAGCCCAGCACCTTAACCACCACTCCACCTGCCAACCCCTAGGGTACAGTTTTTTGATACTGTAATAGGCAGAATATTCCATGGACCTAACACATTTCTTTGAACATCAATGCTTTTGGCTATGAGATGCACCACTATGTTTTTTATGCTACTAATACAGGAAAAAAAAAAAAACCTGCTGATTAAGCTATGATTCATTCTTAGACACTGTAGGCTGTATTTCCTTTTGATAGGTTTTTTTTTTTTTTTGGAGAGGTTTTTGCTATAGGGCACGTGCTCTTGCTGGAAAGACACAGAGAGACAGAGAGACAGAGAGACAGAAAGTGAGAAATCACCCCCACCGGGGGTGGGGGGAATGGCCACACCACAATCCCTTCTCCTCTATTCTCCTCTTGGGATCATGGGGATGCACACACATGTGCCCGGCATGAGTTTAAGCCACTGAGTCCGGGACTCGAACCGCAGTCAACTACACGGGAGTCCAGCAATGTAGCTATTATGCCATCAGCTGGTCCCAATAGATGTTTACATATGGAAAAATGTCCATCTTAGAATCAATGACATATGGAAAGAGGTAAAGCTTTAATCACTTTACATTCCATAACACACTTTTTGAATAATCCTATGAGGTTGATGTCAACTTTTCCATTTTGTTGAAGGGGAGGTAGTTTCCCAGGGACTCAAGTCCAGTCTTCTCTTCAGAGCCAGCACTGTTCCTAAGACTGAGATGCTGTTCCAGGCTGAGGGTCAGAGATGGCTAAAAATGACCCTTCACTAAGGAGACTAAGGCCCAACGGAGAAGTTAGACATGCAAACAGCTCTCAGGGCCTGTTGTGATGAGTGGTATTGTTAAGGGGAGGGGGTGGGGAGATGTCTGAGGAAAGGACACAAGTGCTGGGCTGACAGGAGGATTTGAATGTGGCTTTTAAAGACCAGGATTGGGTTACTATTCGCTCCTTCACTTTCTCCTTGAAAGTGCAGGTTCAGCCACCTAAAAAAGTTCCAGTAACTTTTGGGTAGGTCCTACCTTGGTAGGCAGTACTCATTTAATAATGCCAAGATGTGCAAACAAGTATCCAAAGGTACTTCTTTTTTTGGGGGGAGAGGTTTTTGCCATAGGACGCATGCACTCACCAGACAGAGAGAGACAGAGAGACAAAAAGCGAGAGATCACCCCCCAGGGGGGATGGTCACTCTGCAATCCCTTCTGCTCCATTCTCCTCTTGGGATCTTGGGCACACACGCACACGCGCCCGGCATGAGTTTTAAGCCACTGGGTCCGGGACGTGAACCACGGTCGACTACCTGGGAGTCCAGCGACATAGCCATTACGCTAAC